TTACTAACGAACATTCATGCTGTATGGAAGAAGACTGAAACTAGAGACTGAGACCAAGAAACTCATCAGGAACTGTTTACTGAGCTCATAACATGCAACTCTCCATAAGACTCCATACTATCAGAGCTGGAGCTGCCCTGCTGGCTGTAGAGAGACTGCAGGTTTAACACACTGTCGAGTAATTGTGAGTGTCAGTGAGGTCACAGAGTTGTGTTGTGTGTGTTGTGCAGCTTGTCAGTTGAACTACCTGGGGAACTACGTACCGAACGGCGTGGACCTTTGAGAACGGCTGTGGATAATGCGATGACGACCTGTCTGCTGTTAAACGACCTACCCGTACGTACGGCGGCTGACGCGCTCGCTCATCCACGTTGTTTTATCTCATCACAGTGTTTAAAATGTGTGTGTGTGGTTGTGTGTGTGTTTCAGGACGAGGAGATGCTCCTGGTGTACGTCCGCTGTGTTCATCGAACGCCACTCCCTTCATGGAGGAAGTCTTGGACCGACTGACGTCCTCAACTACCGCCAGCCAGGATCCGCTCTTCAATCCACAAAACGTGAAACCAAACAGAACACACATATTCTGATGCTGATCTCCTCTGATTCCTCTGATCTGATCTCCTCTGTCTGTCTGTGGTCCAGGTTGTGTACCAACGACGCCAAATCCGAAGTTCTGGGAGCGTCCACAGAGCGCTGTTCCCCGACCCCTGCTGGTCGGACCCGAGGAGAACCTGAGGAGAACAAGGCAGAAACATGGCTGTGTGAGTGGAGATTTCCAGATGAATATTGTGACGTTTCAGCCTCCCTTCAGGCTGTGAACATTTGCTGCTGATGATCAGAGAAGAACCTGGAGGTCTGATGGACAGACGATCAGTAGTGTTTGATGTTGTGCTGTATCTTCAACACAGGTTGAATTCACTTCTTCCTAGTGAGTCTGGAACTTATACATAACTCCTGTTTCTCTACAGCTGTACAACGGCTTGCAGCTAACAAATATTTGAACCTATAAACTTCAACTACGACTAAACTAAATCTAGTGAGTTAGCCAACTATTTAAAGTCAGAAATGAGGCAGAACCAAATAATTCCAGCTGTTCCTGTCCAGAGTTTATTTATGGGCCACAGGCAAATAAACCACAGTTAGGTCTGATTGTTGCCTGGATGCTACCTGTATTAGATATTAATGTGGTGTGTGTGTGTGTGTGTGTGTGTGTGAGTAACTGATGGTCCCATTTAGAGTCAAACAGACCATAATATGCTTTAGGGCGGGGCTACCTTGTGATTGACAGCTCATTCTCAGTGAGTCCGTCCAGCTCAACACAACGAAAATAAACAAAAACATTGTGATGTTCTTCATGAGTTTTGCAGCCACCGTAGTTTCTCCTTTGCAATGTGAAATTTAACTTTTGTGTATAAATGTGTAGTTGGTAATAGACCCAATATATATATTTGTTTACACTCTGTCTCCATTAGCAGTGTAAATCATTAGCTGTTTGTGTGGATGGACATCAGGGATATGGACACCCTCACACTGAATGCCATCAGTTCACTGCTGAGGGAGTTAGAGCTCCGTCTTTGTCCTGCTGTGTGTTCAGCAGCGTGTGAACAAACACGGACAGCGGTGAGGTTTTTCTGCCACTGTTAGTTATCCAATGACAGGGTTCCTACATTGTTGTTGTCTTCAATAACACTCTGAGCTGTAATTTAAACCCACAGCATCGTGTCCGCATCAGCAAACCAAACAGTGAGAACCTCAGGAACTGCACACACTGCAGGCAGTTCTGGCCCGCGGGCTGCGATCGGCCGCTTACCTTGGTGGGGCCGTTGCCGTGGATAATGACAGGAAGCGTGTCGTAGGCGACGTTCCTCGCTCTGACCTTTGCCCTCTCAAACTTCAGGACGACCTCGTCTGTCACACAGAGACACGTTCAGGTTAGAGCTTCAAAAACATCCGACTGAGGTTATTCTGACAGAAACTGGGAGCTTCAGTCCACTTCTTCAGAACCACAGAGTCACATTTTATCTTCATCAAACAATCTGCAGCTTCTGGGATTTGCACGTTGCTCTAAATGTAACACATGAAAGCCACCAGACTCAGACAGGACGTTGCCCACAGACAGTTAATATGAATACAATCAGAGTGTATCCTCCACTGTACTGTGTGTTTGACTTCTTGTCCCCTGAGGAGATAAAAGGTTGACAATGCTACTTCCTGTTTGCCACAATATACAAAACATGTAACCATTTTATTTTACTCTGTGTGTGTGTGTGTGTGTGTGTGTGTGTGTGTGTGTGTGCGTCTGTCTCACCAACAGCTCCGTTCAGGTTTTGGAAGATTCGGGAGCGGTGGTCCAGAGTCATGTTGTACTTGGTCTGAAGACACAAATCACAATCATCTGTTTGTTGTTGTTGTTGTTTAAACAGTTAATGAGTTTATCAGTGAGTTAGATTAACGAAGTTATTAGTGTTAGATGAAGAGTTATTAGTCAGTTAGATGAATGAGTTATTAGTCAGTTAGAGAAGGAGTTATTAGTCAGTTAGATGAATGAGTTTATTAGTAAGTTAAATGAATGAGTTATTAGTCAGTTTAGATTGAATGAGTTATTAGTTGCAGTTAGAGAATTGAGTTATTAGTCAGTTAGATGAATGAGTTTACCCTCTGGGTCTTGTCCAGGTAGATTCTGGTGTAGAAAAGTTGGTCGTCGTCGTTGTCTTTGTACTTCCACTGCTGGACGATCGTACTGAGGTCTGAGGCGAAGCCGATGAACCCTGAACAGACAGACAGACAGACAGACAGACAGACGGATTTTCATGATTATTATATACAAACTTACACCTATACTCTTCACCTGACTGAAGTAAATAAGAGCTTCAATAAACACGGCTCCTAAAAACTCTACATTACTTTAAATAAAACTAAATGATCTTCTTATTTATTTCCACCAAAGCAGAGTTGGTGATTGTTGAAACACTAACAGACGCTTTAATGAGTTTTCTGTTTCTGTCCACTTTGATGAAGTTCTGATGATCTGATATCTAACTCAGTGAAGGTGTCCCCACACTATAATAATAATAAACTGAGCGCTGACGGATGAGTTCCTCTTACCTCCGGAGTTGAGGTAGCGTTTCCCAGCATGCACCTCTGGGTATTTGGAGGCCAGCCTCTGGTCGGGCCAGCAGAATCCCTCGGCTGAGAAAACCACTCTGTGACCCAGACGGGAAAACTTGGACAGCAGCTCCTCCGGACCGGACGCGAAGATCACGTCGTAGCTGCAGACAGAGACGGGACACCGTTGAGCTCGAGGTCTGTTAGAGTCTGAGTCCTCTCTACTCTCACTTTAACTGATCAAAGGACGTCGTTCTGAACCGCAGCACAGTCAGACCCGTGGACACGCTGTCCAGAGGTCTGTCATCAGTGTCAGTGACAGACTGCAGACGTTCAACGTGTTCATTAAAACCTAAAACCGGACGACCCACGGGGGTCTCCTCATTCTGCTCTAACATTATAACATTATATATATTATATTCTATAACAGTCTGTTAATCAGCTCTCAGTGGATTCACGTCTCATCTGTCTCCTCCAATGTCTGTCCAACACCGACAGGAAGTCCTGGTTCAGGTATGTTCAGCTTACCTAACGGTATTTTACAGTTTCCTGATAATCAATAAAAGTATCTGATGACTCATCCTGCACTCGGGGCGTTTACTAACGCTGCGTCCAATCAAACGCTTTCTCTCTAGCTTCTATCTGCTCTATAGTGAAAAGGTTCAATCACTAACTAGTTACAACTGAAAGATCATTTTAACAAAACACTTCCTAACTAATGACTTCTGTAAATTAGATGACTGGTTAGTTTATTTACATCAGTCGTTAGTTAGCTCAGCTTCTTAACTGTACTCAGTGATTCTGGTGAAACTGGATCACATTTTATGGAGGACATATTTCGTCCTTCAACTCTCTGAGATTCACACAGTTTCCTGATGGACCGATATTATTAAATTAGCTAAAGTAGCTAACTGCTAATTAACTGCTGATAACCTGCCGGACCGGGATGAACAGGGAATAACGTTACTGCGTCAGATATGTGAAACTTCTTTTAGAGTCGACTTGTGAGTACCTTACAAGGCGTCTCTGCCCTGGGTTTTGTCTCTCAGGCTCTCGTATTGAACCTCTGACTGGTACAGGTTGTTGTTGATGAAGTGTGTGCTCTTCATCAGTGAACTACTGTTCAGGTGATTCCTATCGCTACCGACAACCAACCTTTGTTCTGTGTGTGTGTGTATGTGGCACAGGTGAGTCCGATTTCTTATTGAGGACAGAAACAACAAAGAGACAACAAAGAGACGACACAAAAGAACAGACAAGAGATGAGGAGAAGCACTAAAAAGGGAAAACACAAAGAGAAATGAGGACAGGTCATATAACACCACACACAGACACCAGACACACACACACACACACACAACACAGACAGTGGGTGTTACCTGGTTC